CGACTGGGGAAGAAGCAGAGCTGAGCAGGGCACTGCACAAGCTGTTTCTCTCTGCAAAGGAGTGAACCAGCCCCGGGGGCTGCCATGTCTGCGCTGCCGAGGTGTCAGCAGCGATTACTCATCTCCTTATGCAGAGCACAGGGGAAGGGGCGACTCTGCCACGGCTCCTGGCACCTCAATACATGTGATGCTCATCCCCTCGGGCATCAGTGCGCTCCAGGGCTGCTCCAGTGCCTTCACCCTTGGTTCCCACCGCGGCTGCCGGCTGGGGAAGCGCCTTTTATCCCCCCTGTCCCAAGAGGTACATTGGAAAGCAGGAGCAGGCGGCAGCGTGGCAGGGATGCTGCGTGAGCATCCTTCAACTCCTGGGTACCAAGGGGCTCGTCTGTTGTGGGTTTACAGCCACCACAGCATCTGCTTGGGGAGACCTACCCTGTGGTGGTCGTCTCTCCCCCAGCCCGGTGCCATCGCGGCCACAGGCTCCTCCAGCTTGGAGTGGGGCTGGGGGGGACCGGAGCAAGCTGTAGCCGGCGGCGGCTCCCCTTGGCGAGGTTCCAGCAGCGTCAGCCTCTCCCTCAGCGAGCTGTCATCTCCTGGGTGCTGGCCAAGGCATTGCTGCAGGGTGTCAGACGGGGACCCCAGACAGACCTCGAGCCACCCGGCACTGCTCAGAGCCTGTTCTTGGAGGGGGCCCAGTGGGAAGAGGGCTCCTGTGGCTGCTCTGCTTTAGCAGAGTCAATCAGGTTAATGAATGAAGCCTCCTCATGCCAGGATTCAAGGAGCTGCTGAATACGTGTCAGTCGACAGGGCATTAATCCTCTCCGCTGTGACCTTTACATCACCACCCAAGTCCAGGTTCTCCTCTTTGCCCTTTGCCATTGCCTTTCATATTTAATATTCAATCTGCTTTATCTGCAGGAAGCTTTACCACCCGCCCCACCTGGCTGGGAAAGGATCAGCCGCGGGGTAAAAGGCACCCAGGGCAGAGCTGCTGCTTGTCACCCACCAGCCTCCCGTTTGCACCCACATCACTTGGTCATGGCACGGGGGGGCTCTGCTGAACCCCATTGGTTTCCCCAAGGGGCTGGGGCTGCCTGGGGTGGGCAGCGCTGCTCTTCTCTTCCTGTCTCCTCTCCCTTTTCTCCTCTTACATCTCCTCTCTCCTCTCTCTCCTCTCCTCTCCTCTCCTCTCCTCTCCTCTCCTCTCTCCTCTCCTCTCCTCTCCTCTCCTTCTCTCTCCTCTCCTCTCCTCTCCTCTCCTCTCCTCTCCTCTCCTCTCCTCTCCTCTCTCTCCTCTCCTCTCCTCTCCTCTCTCTTGATTTATGTGCTGCTGAGCACAGGCTCTAATGTCTTCCTCACAGGGGAGAGCTTGGCACAGCCAGGGCTCCAAAGGGCTTCCTTGTGTGTAGCACTCCTTTGTGCCTCCCCCAGGCTCCCATTGCACCTCCTGCAGCACTTGTGCTTTATTCACTGCAGATCAGTTCTCTTCCACAGCCAGGCACTGATGGAGAGGTGATAGGCTGCTTTGAGGGAGCGATGGGTGGCACAGGAGATGCAGGTTGCGGCTCTCACGCCATGGAACTGCTTCTCCTGCACAGATTGTTTCCTCACCAACAGCACTTTCTAATCTCCAAGCAAGCAAGAAGCTGGAACGTTTCATATTCCGTTCATGGCTCCCCTGGAGGCAGCAGCAAGGAAAGAGATGGAGGAGGAGAAACCAGTGAGAAGCACCAGGTGGCCGCAGATCTCGCAGCCTAATGGGTTCCTCTGTAATTAGTACAAAACCTGTTGCTCTCAACCAACATCAAGTGCCAGGTTTGGAGCAAGCAGCATCCTGCCTGGCTCAGCGCCAGGCGGTTTGGCACGGTGCAGGGAGGAGCTGCGGGATGGAGCGGGGTGGATGGAGCCTCTTCTGTGCGTGGGAACTGAGACCACCTCCAGCTCCTCCGGCTGCTCTCTTAGAGAACCCCCTGCATCCTGCATTCAGCTCTGGGGAACAGCACAGGAGGGATGTGGAGCTGCTGGAGGCCGTGGAGCTGCTGAGGGCTGGAGCATCCCTGCCCTGGAGCCAGGCTGAGAGAGCTGGGCTGGGGCAGCCTGGAGAAGAGAAGGCTCCTTAAGGGGAGACCTTGGAGCAGCTCCGGTGCCTAAAGGGGCTCCAGGAAAACTGGAGAGGGGCTTTGGAGAAGCCTCAATCCCAAGCCATTGATAAAAGCACACAAAGACGAAGCGACTTTTGCCCGATCTCCATGGGCAGCATCATAAATGCCCCCGTGCATTAAGGCTTTGCTGAGCTAAGCCACTAATATTGGACATGATGCTCGAGGGCTTTAATCCCCGAGCAGAGTCCCCTGGGCTGCTGGAGGCATGTGGGGGATTTACAGGTATTAGTTTAACAGCAAAACAAGCCCAATTCATCACCATTCAACCACTGCCCATCCTGCTCTGCTGGCCATGGCTTAGCCAAGGGGTCCTGCCTGATGGCCCCTGTTATGCGGCCACATGAGCCTCAGCATCCCCACACACAGAGCAACACAAGGGGATGCTTCACCTTCACTGGGGTCTCCCTGAAGCAGTAGAAGGCCCAAAGTAACGCCTGGAGCATCCCCCACAGCCAGCCCCCGACCCCAGCAGAGCTCCCACATCAGAACAGAGGGCTCTGAAGCACTTGGAGGTGTATGGATATATCATATATTTGTGTGTGTAACTATACATAGATAGCTGCATACTTACACACCCGCACAGGTAAATATTTATAGATACTGACCTCTTCAGATTAAAGTCCAAGGCACTTTTTACAGTGAACAGGTTAAAGCCATAGTTTAAAACATGCCTGTTTCTGGGTACAGCTTGGGTTTATGGCAACGCTGTGGGAAAGGGACAGTCCCTGCTCCCTGCCCCTGGCTCAGGGGTCGGACCAGGAGGACGGGTGTAAGCCCCTGACCACAAAGACACACAAGCAGCTCCCACTGGGAAGGGCATCAGCACGTTGGGGATGCTGAGACCTCAGGGAGGGAAGAACACTTTGGGCAGAAGGAGGAGCAGAGCTGGGTGCTGAGAATCCCCGGCTGCGAGCACCCCCCGGGCACAGGGTGCTGGAGCCCCGCGGGGCTCCGAGGTGGCTCATCCCACTGGGAAATAGCTAATCCCATGGAGCAGCTTTTCCCATCCCCTGCACAAGCCCATCTTGGCCACCCCGAGCCTGCTGGGTGCCTTTGGGAGGGAGCCCAGGTGCTTGCAGCAGCATCTTCCCTGTGCTCAGGGATCCCCTTCATCCCCAGCAAACCTACCTGGTGCCGTCGCAGGCTGGGAGATGCTGTACCCAGTGGTACAGAGGGATGAGCACCTAAAGGTCCCCAGAGGCAGCAGGAGAGCCTCAGCTCTGCCCTCAGGGGGAACCAGCCCCTCTCCTCTGGCAGAGCTGGAAACCCCCAAGCTGGTCTCAAGCATCGCCCTCCTACAACCACCCCACAAGTGGAGGGGAACGTGTGGGGCAGGAACAGCCCAGGCAGCCACCAGCTCCTTTCTGCAAGAGGACTTCAGGGCTAGCAAGGAGCCACCAGAGCTCAGGGCACCATTGCTGCTGCGACTTTTCCCTGCTGGGTTGAACTGGGCTGGCAGGGTCAGGCCAGCATGATCATATCAGTGACAACAAGGAGAGCACCCAGGGATTGTGACTTGGGTTGGAGCAGCCACTGGGGGGGCTTCCTCTGGAATTGGTCCCATAGGCTGCCTGGTCCCGTTCCACGTGGGAGGACGGGAAGGAGCATCAGGGCTGCAAAGGAACAGATGTTGATCCAATGGGGATAAGGTCTGGCAGCTCAGGGGCTCGAGGTAAGGAAGAGATGCTCTCTGCGGTTGAGGAGTGGAGTCATGGAACCCCCAGCCTGGCTTGGGTTGAAGGGACCTTAAAGCTCATCTAAAGCCAAAAGGTGCGGGAGCCTGGCTGGAGGAGGGGAGCAGTGTGCCCCACACCAAGACAACCTCCATCCTATAGGGAAAGGAGGAATTGTGGCTGTGCCCAGGAAGCTGAGTCCCTCCTTCAGCTGGAGATGCCCCTGAGGGGGGCAATGGCTTTCCAGAAAGCGCAGAGACCCCTGGCAAGAAGTGGGAGCAGCAAAGCTCTGGTGCCATTGGGCTACATGGCTCCGGCCCTGTTAAAGCCAGCTTCCAGGCGATGGGAATGAAGAGCTGGGGGGTAAAGGATGAGGAGCATGGGGAGCCTCGGGAGCACCAGGAACAGTGGCTGTACTCAGAAACAGACACCTTTGGCAGCAGGCTGGCATTGCTGCCGCTGCCCACCGCGGTGGGTACAAAACCAGGGTGGAAAGTTACAAGACCCTCTCTAAGGTAGCAATATATTTCATAGGTAAAATAAACTATTGTACTTTCCCCTAGTGGTAAAAAAGAAGCGAGCGGCGCAGAGGCAAGATACGGACCAGGGCGAAGCTCCTGCAGGCTGTGGCTTTACAGAGGACTCTGTTCCTCGGGGGTTTCCTCCTCACGGCTCGCGGAGCAAAGGGAAAACCGGAGGCAGGTTGTGGCTGGGAGGTCCTGGAGGGGCTCCGGGTGCGTCCCGGCTGCGGTTGGTGGCATCTCTTTGGGGTTCTGATGCTGTGGGGTTGTTCTTGTGCTTTGCCTTCAGCTCGGCTGCTGGTCTCAGCTCTTCCCTTGTCCTGGTGCTGTCCGGGGTGTCCCGGCTCCAAAACAACGTTCTCAGGCGTAGAGAGCCTTTACCAGAGCCCTTTGCCAGAGCCCTGCCGGGAAGCTGCAGGTACCTGGGGGATGCTGTGGGCTGAACCATGATGGGGGGACACTGGGGCCACCCCCATCTGCCCATGCCGGCCCTCACATGGCCTTGGGGTTGTGGGGGGGGGTGCCTCTGTGGAGCCCGGTGAGCCTGGTGATGGGTTAGAGCTGTGGTGAAGATGCAATATGGGGTGAAATGGGAAGTGCAGGGGAGGAGATGGGAGGTTTCAGGGTGCATGGATGCAGAGTGAGATGCAGGAGGTGAGATGCAGGGTGAGATGCAGGCTATGAGATGCAGGATGAGATGCAGGCTATGAGATGCAGAGTGAGATACAGGGAGTGAGATGCAGGGTGAGATGCAGGAGTGAGATGTAGGCTATGAGATGCAGGCTATGAGATGCAGGGTGAGATGCAGGGGTGAGATGCAGGCTATGGGATGCAGAGTGAGATGCAGGGAGTGAGATGCAGAGTGAGATGCAGGGAGTGAGATGCAGGGTGAGATGCAGGCTATGAGATGCAGGGTGTGAGATGCAGGGTGTGAGATGCAAGGTGAGATGCAGGGTGTCAGATGCAGGCTGTGTGGATGCAGAGATCCCTGCCCAGCTCCTGCCATCCCTGGTGAAATCCCTCTGCTCTGCCCCAGGACACGGCTCTCTTGCACCGGTTGCGCTCCAAAGCTCTCCCCACTGGTGCTCGCCACACCTCGGGTCCCAGCAGCTGCCAGTGCCTCGGTTCATCCTGGTTTCATTACCCAGACTCGATCATTAGCCTGTGAGGAGGGTCCCACTGCGACATTGATTCTGGAGCATCGATCCTTCCTCTGGCTCTGGTCCCCAGACACAGCTCTGCTCCTCGCCCCATGCAGCCCCACTGCAGCTTGTTCCTCCTTGCACCCCAGCAGAGGCACGGAAATGCTTTCCTCTGGTGCAGATCCTGCATGTCGGGCTCATTCTCCACTGAGAATGAACCTTCTGTCCATTGCCATGCTGGAATCCACTCTGCAGAGAAGCCAGCTCGGGCTGAGGGTCACCTGCAGCACATGGGGAGCAGCAGCAGAGCTCAGAATAGAGCTGGGGGGGGCTGCCAAAGGCATCCCGGCCTCTGCCTGCCCTTCAATTACACTAATGACAAGAGCTTGGAAGAGCAGCTCATTCCCAGAAGCCAGGTATCTCCTGCCGGCCGAGGATGGGAAAAGGCTGGCAGCCTTCCTCCTCCTCTTCTTCGGCATCAGGCTCATCCATCTGTGCCTCCGTGTGCACAAAATACAGCATTATTTACGGGAGGGAAAGAGTTACAAAGGAGATTACAGGCTGAGTATACCTGGAGTAACACAGTGACTTTGATTACAATTACTGACACTGCCGGCTGAGCTGTAATTAATATCGGGGAGTAATTACAGGTTCCTTCATCTGTTTAAAAATACAGAAATAGCCTCTGCTGGGTTTTCATTGAAAGCAGCAAAGAGCAGCCCCAGAGCTGCTGCCAGGCTCCACACAGGGCCCAGGCAGAGCCCAGCACAGCCATGGGGCAGAACCGGGGAGGAAAAAGGGGGAAATGGGGAAAGCAGAACAGGAAAGGGCTGGTTCTATAAGTACCTGGGTGGATGGGTCCCCACCAAACCCAGCAGCAGTGGCACAGAGGCTGGTTTTAAACAGATGAAGCACCTTCCCCACCACCACATCCCTTGCCAGTGGGCCTCGGCTCGGCCCCGGCGCACCGGGTGCTAATGTGGTTTCTCATCCAGCAAAGAGCCCATCAGCTTCCTGGGATGCTGGGGGTGGGCAGCAATGTGAGCACCAGAGCCCCGCGGCGCCCAGGCTGGCCTGCCAGCCCCTGCCTGGCCCTGCATCCACGCATGGTTAGACACCACCTTCCAAGCTCCAGCACGACTCCAGGGAGGAGCAGAAGGGAGAAGCATCCTTGTTCTGCCTGGGGTGGACCCGCTCACACCTCCAGAGAAGCCCACGGCAGGTTATGGCCACTGTCACCCACCCAACAATGCAAGGGGGGGTGCCTGCGTGTCCAGGTAATGAGATGGGATGGCGCGTAGGCAGCATAGGTCGGAGCCTGTGCAAGGAACCACCGTGTCGGCCTCTGCTTTGCAATGCTGAGAGGGGCAGGGGAGGAAAACTCTCCCCTCCAGTGTCTCCATTGCTGCAGTGCTGCTGACTCGCTGCTTTGTTCCATTTTCCTATGTGAAGACCTGAGATTGAGCGTGGGTTTTCCGTCCGCCACCGGCCTCCGCGGCGCGGGCTCGCCCGAGGCATTGCCTCCCATCCCCTTCCTTCACCACGTGTAGAGGCACCTGAACGGGGATGTGGTTCCCAATACCAAGGCGTTGGCAAAGCTCCGAGCGGCGCTCGGCACCGCTGGTCCCACCGGCTCCGGCCGAAGGGGCCCTGCGGCAGCGCGAGGACCAAATCCATGGAGACCTCGGGACCTGCGCAGAGGCGCTGCCCCTGTCCATGGCGGGAGCCAGGGGCTGCGCTTTAGCAGCTGCTTGAGCTCGTGTAAGGGGTGGGGAAGGAGGTGGAGCTGACCCCGATGGGGCTCTCGGACAGAGGAGTTTGGGGGGTGCCCACGGGCACGCTGACACCCCGCGCCTCCAGCACGGCGGCGAGCAGGCGCTGCTGCTGCTGGCGCAGCATGTCGGCCATCAGCAGTGGCAGGGAATTGAAGCTGGTGCTGAGCTGCTCCAGCTTGGACTCCAGGCTGCTGATCTGCTTCTCCAGGTCCTCGCTGCGGTCGTTGAGCTCCGTGATGAGGTCGTACATCACGTTCTGCATCTGGGGAGGGACAGCGTGGTCAGTACCATGGACGGAGGGGTCAGTGCCATGGATGGAGGGGTCAGTGCTGTGGTGGAGGGGTCAGTGCCATGGATGGAGGGGTCAGTGCCTTGGTGAAGGGGTCAGTGCCACGGCTGGAAGGGTCAGTGCCATGCTGGAGGGGTCAGTGCCATGGCTGGAGGGGTCAGTGCCTTGGTGAAGGGGTCAGTGCCATGCTGGAGGGGTCAGTGCCATGGCTGGAGGGGTCAGTGCCATGGATGGAGGGGTCAGTGCCGCGGCTGGAGGGGTCAGTGCCACGGCTGGAAGGGTCAGTGCCATGCTGGAGGGGTCAGTGCCATGGCTGGAGGGGTCAGTGCCACGGCTGGAGGGGTCAGTGCCATGGATGGAGGGGTCAGTACCATGGATGGAGGGGTCAGTGCTGTGGTGGAGGGGTCAGTGCCACAGCTGGAAGGGTCAGTGCCACAGCTGGAAGGGTCAGTGCCATGCTGGAGGGGTCAGTGCCACGGCTGGAGGGGTCAGTGCCATGGATGGAGGGGTCAGTGCTGTGGTGGAGGGGTCAGTGTCTTGGTGGAGGGGTCGGTGCCATGGTTGGAGGGGTCAGTGCCATGGCTGGAGGGGTCAGTGCCATGGATGGAGGGGTCAGTGCTGTGGTGGAGGGGTCAGTGCCATGGATGGAGGGGTCAGTGCCATGGATGGAGGGGTCAGTGCTGTGGTGGAGGGGTCAGTGTCTTGGTGGAGGGGTCGGTGCCATGGTTGGAGGGGTCAGTGCCATGGCTGGAGGGGTCAGTGCCATGGATGGAGGGGTCAGTGCTGTGGTGGAGGGGTCAGTGCTGTGGTGGAGGGGTCGGTGCCATGGTTGGAGGGGTCAGTGCCTTGGTGAAGGGGTCAGTGCCATGGATGGAGGGGTCAGTGCTGTGGTGGAGGGGTCAGTGTCTTGGTGGAGGGGTCGGTGCCATGGATGGAGGGGTCGGTGCCATGGATGGAGGGGTCAGTGCCGCGGCTGGAGGGGTCAGTGCCATGGATGGAGGGGTCGGTGCCATGGATGGAGGGGTCAGTGCCGCGGCTGGAGGGGTCAGTGCTGTGGTGGAGGGGTCAGTGCCATGGATGGAGGGGTCAGTGCCATGGATGGAGGGGTCAGTGCCATGGATGGAGGGGTCAGTGCTGTGGTGGAGGGGTCAGTGCCTTGGTGGAGGGGTCAGTGCCTTGGTGGAGGGGTCAGTGCCTTGGTGGAGGGGTCAGTGCCGCGGCTGGAGGGGTCAGTGCTGTGGTGGAGGGGTCAGTGCTATTTCCACTTGCAGAGCCCAGCCCTCTAACCCCTTTCTGAGCTGCCTTGTCTCACAGGGCCCTGTGACCGCATCATAGATCACCCTGGGACATTAAATGAGGAGACCCTGTCCCTGTGCAGGCAGAAGGGAAAGTAGCAGCCGGCCCTGTGCATCCTGCGGCTGCAGGGAGCAAAGATGTCTCCTGGAGAAAGGGTGAACCCCCCCACACACACTAGTGCCTGGCTCGTGGCTGCTTTTCTCTTCCTGCTTATTCCCAGCTGACATCCCCAAGCCAGAGCATCTCCTGGTCAGCCAGGGCCGCTCATCCAAGTGAAGGGAAACACCTGCTGAGCCAAGGGGTCACCGGGGGGACTTGCCTTCGAGAGGTCGACCAGGGTGTTGGCTTGGTCACTGAGCTTCCGCTGCTCCATCTTCACGCTCCGCAACCTGGGGAGAAGGGAAGAGCATCACGACTGCATCCCAGGCGATAGGGAAGCATCCCCCTGCTGCACCACGGGTCCAGCATCCCTCCCAGCGCCACCGCCCACCCAGCAGCCCCTTACTGGTGAATGGCTTGTAGGAACTTCCTCTGGTGCTTCCTGACTTTGGCGTGGTCGATCTTCTTCAGCAGCTTGGTGTGCTTGTAGATGAGCCACGTTTCCCGGAGGACATTGGCTGCTGCGTTCTTGATCTGCAAGAAGAGAGTTGGCCGCGGGTCACTGGCCTGCAGGATCTCATAGAGACACTGGTCTGGCTCTGCCGCCGGCTGTGAGCCGCTGCTGCCAGAGCCCTTGACCCACCCCAGCTGGAGTGAGGCACTCGGCTTCGCTCCCCATGAACTCCTGCACCTCTGCAAGGGAGATCACGGGCAGCTTGGTTGGGAGTCAGGGCAGGCAGAGCTGCCTGCACCAGTCCCATCCCTGCCCTGCCCTGTGCTGAGGCTCCCCCCCAGGCTCCTCACTGCACCCTGAGCCTCGAGAAGAAGGAAGAATCTCGAAGTTGTTCCCGACTCCTGCATCCATCTGCTGCTCTTGGCAGCTCCCAGCTCTGCTGCCGGCACGAGGACGTGGCTTCCGCAGGTTCCCAGCTCAACTGCAGCTCTGCTGCTCACTCCAAGATGAATTGGCTGCTGTCTGCCTGGCACCGAGCCTGCGGATCCATATCCATGGCCGGAGGAGCTGGGGCCAACCGGCTGTTTGCTTTCCTGGCCCGGCCACACTGAGGCCACCAACTATCCCTGGGGATGCTCCTGTGGCATTCCGAGGGTGAAGTGGCCCTGCCACATCCCGGCACTGGGACATCACCCTTCCACGGGCTGCACCAACGCTTGCTTTGCCACCAGCCCCTATATGAAGTGTTACTCCCACCGCCAGCAGCCCACTCCATCACGCCGATGCTTTGCTGTGACGAGGCTGCTGAGACCAGGGATCTCCTGCAGCCCCCGTGCTGCTGGGGATGCGATGCCACAAGCAGCAAACCCCCTGCAGCCCCCGTGTCCTGCCTCGGCGATGGGAAGCTCAGGAGCCTCAGCACCGCTCCTGTCTGCAGCAGGTGAGGTGCTGAATCACAAAACCCTGTTGTCTCCCTGACACGGAGCTGATTGAGATCCTGCTCCACAGGAGGAGGGAGCCTGTTTCCTCCCAGCGGGAAAAAAAACACAGGCTTTTCCTCCCTGAGCATCCTGCATCGCCTAAATCCCTGACATGGAGCTGGTGACGCTCGCTCCCACCATAACACTGCTCCTCCGCTGCATCCCAGGCCCTCAGATTTGGTACCCATGGGACCTGCCCCCACTGTGGTTCCCCCCATCCCTGTCTCCCGTGGCACCTTACCCGCTTTGTCAGCTGCGTGTCCATCATGAAGTTGTGGACGTGCTTCTCAGCTTTGGTGAGCTCCAGCTTCCTGGCCACCACGGCCACCACCAGTGCCGTGCAGCCGGCACCCTGCACGGGGACAGCAGGCAGGGTCATGGTTTGTCACCCTCCAGCATCCTGCTGCACCCTCTCCATTGCAACCCTCTCATTCAGTAAAGCTCCGTGAACCCCCCAACCACCTCATCCTCCATATCACAGAGTGTCCTTGGGGATGTGCTGGGTCATTAATGGGATGGGCTGGGGATGACTGGCAAGGTCAGTGGTGAGCACTGGTGAGCCTTTGCATCCCCAGCATCCATTAATGGCTGGGCTAAGCCTGCTTTACCAGTGCCACCACAGCTGGTGCCCCGTGATAGCGCCCGGTGGGATGGGGAACCCCCAGCTCCAGGGTGGGAAAGCACCAGCAACCTGCGGGAGGGCAGGGAAGGGGACCCCAGAATCAAGATCCCCCCCCTCCCAAATTGCTGCGTCTCCCAAAAGCGACAGCTGGGAGCTTGATTATCCTGGCGATTAGGGCTGGATCCCATCATCTCCAGGACATATTTGCCTTTGGAAAGCAAAGGCACCAAAGCCCCCACTCCCTGCGGTGCTTGGGTGCTCTGCCTGTACCAGCTGAGCTGCTCCCCCCTCCCATAGCCTGGCAGAGGTCCCACGATCCTGGCAAATGCTCCTTAATTTATTAAAGAGTCATTAATTAACATCAGGCTCTGAGCTGAATCCTTCAGCAGCACCCAAGCTTCCTGCTCCCACCACTTCCCCCTTCCTGGCGGGGCTGTGGGATGCTCTGGGACCCCTCATTCAGCTGGGAAACACTCTAGCCCCCCCTCCAAGGGTATTTTCCCCCTCGCCTGGCTCCTTTGGGCCTCACTGGTGCCTGACCCCATTGACACAGATCAAAGACTTCAGATAATGGAAAATTAACAGTTGCTGGTGGAGCAGGGAGGGGGAACGGCTCCAATACAACGCCTGGAGCCAAGGGGCATAGAGCTGGGCGCTGGAGACGGCTCCATCTGCACCATCACCTTCTGAGCCAAAACTCCACGTCCTCTAATCCCAGCTCTATCAGCTCGCAGGAGTCCTCAAAGCTGTAGCCCTTGTGCTTGTGCAAGGACAAACCAGCTGGGAAGCAGGTCCTGGTAAAACCTGGCGGCCCTGCTGCCATGCTGGGCACAAGCAGAGCCCACAGTGGGGCAACCGGCTCAGCACGGCCCTTACCATGATGCCAGTGAGCAGACAGACACCCTTCCCGCAGTAGGTGTGTGGGACCATGTCACCATAGCCGATGGAGAGGAAAGTGATAGAGATGAGCCACATGGCACCCAGGAAGTTGCTGGTTACATCCTGCTGGTCATGGTACCTGCCAAGGGGACACGGGCATCAGTGTCGGGGCAGGGGATGGGGAGCAATGGGTGCAGCTGGGCATGGTGGCTGCCCCAGCACAAGGCTGTGCAGTGGGGAAGAGGGATTAAGAACGTGGCAGATGCCCCCCAGCAGCAGCAGTTGCACAATTCCTGGCCCAGGGAAAAACCACATGGACAGAATCAGAGTGAGAACTCAGCGGAAAAGGCTTCTGCTTCCCGTCAGAGCTGTCACCACGTCCCGGTCCAGCCGCCGGCGTCCCGATGCCACGTGGCGTGGCGGAAAGAGCTGCCTGATGGGAGAAACAGCTGCAAACCCCCAACCGCGCCAGCTCCCTGCCGGCATCCTGTTCTGCATCCCACTCTGCATCCTGTTCTGCATCCCGCTCTGCATCCCGCACTGAGCCCCCTGTGCCACACCGGGGACCAGCAGTGGGTCCTGCTGAGCCTCCGGGTGATGCTTCCCAAGGGATGCAGCGCTGCTTCCTGGCAGTGCAGCAGGACCAAGGTGCAGGCAGCACCTTCACCCTGTCACTCTCACTGCCTGCACACATCCCTCTCCCCAGCAGGCTTCTTCTGACCTCCTCATGAAATCACTAGAGGGAAAACAGATGGAGCTTTTGGCAGTTACCCCCCTGGTTTATCCCAGCTCCTCACTCCCAGAGCAGTTGGGTTTTCTCCCTTTCTGAAATGTTTTTCCCACCAAGTTAAGTGGACACTCAGAAGCTGACACAGGAGGGGCATGAAGAGGAGCTGCCACCATCAGTTACACCCCAGAACCCATTTCCATCACCCACTAAGGGCACAGGAACTCCCTGCCATGGGGCTGCCCTGAATATCGCCCCGGTCCCACGGAGCATCACCAGGCTGGCCGCACCAGCTCGGCTGAACCGACCCCTCATGTCTGGGCAGCAGCATCATGGCTGCACCCTCACCCTGGGGAGTGAGCACACGTGTGGGCACACGTGTGTGTGAGCGCACGTGTGTGTGAACACACACGGGTGCCATCAGCGGCGGTGCCGGCATCGCCCGCAGCGCTGCGTGGCCGGCGAGCGGGCGAGGTTGCTAAGCGACTCGCTGCCTTCGGAGCGCGGTGCCCCCCGGCACGCACTGCGGGACGCCCGGCAGCGCCGTGGCAGCACCGGCGCTGGAGCAGCCCACGGTGCCGCAGCGGGGCCGTGCCATCGCCACGGAGCCACCTCTGCGCGGTGCTGCTCTGTGGGGCGCTCCCACAAAGCGCAGCAAACTGGTTTCCAGTGGGAACGGGAAACCGGTGGGGACGCATCCTGCGCGGCCTCCGTGGGAGCTTTGTGGACCCGGGGATGGTGCAGTCCTCATGGATGGAGGGGAGGATGCAGGGGTCCTGCAACCCACGGTCGGTGCATCCGCAGCCGTGCTCTGAGTCCCCCCCCAGGTCCCCATCAGACAGAGGGAGGTGGCAGCAGCTGCGGTGCCGGTGATCCGCAGCGCCTTGTCTGCGTCATTCCTGGCTCTTTTTTCCCCTGTCGCTAATGGTTCTTTATGTACTTTGCATTTTCCAGCCTAAGCCCACTCCCAGGTGGAGAATCCACCCCCTGGGTGCCCCGGGGAGCATGGTCACCCGCTCCCCATTTAGGAGGCCCAAATGAAGATCTCCCAAACACAAAGAAGCGGTGCACGAGCATCCAGCGCACCCCCAGAACATCGCTGTGGGAGGCACGGAGGCAAACACAGCCTATAAAGGCTTGTCAAATCTCAGCGTGCCACTCCGCTCTGCTGCTCTAATGCCTCTTCACAAGGTGATGAGAACGATGAGTCCTACCTTAGGGAAGAGAAGGGGTGGTCTTGTCCAGCCTTGTAAGCACCCAGCCCCAAGCTGGGGGTCCCTGGGGTGCCACAGGTGCCATCTCTCACACCTCAGTTCCACGGATGGCACGAAGCTGCCACAACAACTTCAAGGGATTCTGGCGCAAGTCCACAGACACTGACTCACAACGCATGTGTTGTCTGCAGTGTTATCCCTCTGGGGCAATTAGCCGAGCTTTGATGGCAGCACAGCACCAAGCTCAGCCTCTGGAGACAGGGATGGCTGGGATGGGACACACACCACCAGGATGGACAGACGCTGCTGGCACCCTGCACCCCTGCAGCACAGCACTGGGGAGGGCTGGGGGTGCCCCACCACAGCCTCCTGGTTCCCCCCGGGGGACAAAGGAGCCCTGACATGTCCCCAAGAGATGGAGGAGCAGCGGTACCCATCAGGGCTGGTCGCTACAGCAACCCTGCACCCAGCGCGCCGATGGCGGTGTGATGCCATCCGGCAGTGGGTTTGTCACCACGGTGTTGTCATGGCAGTCACTCGCAACAACACCAGAGCCCGCACCAGGCGCTGCCACTCGCCAGCCTCGCAGCACCCCCAGCTCCTCCTGCTCCCCCCATTGCCCTGGGGCTCCCACACCAGCTCCTCAGCATCCCCTTGCACCCTGACCTGTGCTGCCTCTGCCTCCTGCTTCTGGGGGCTCACTGGTGGGACACGGTGGCTGCTGAGCCCCCAGAACTCTGCATCCCTCACACATGGTGCTGGGACCCCACTGAGCACCCCAAACCACCACACATCCTGAACAGCCCCTCTCACCTCTCACACACCCGGACCGTCCACGCGGCGATGATCCAAAGGGAAATGCTGAAGACCAGCAGCACCGTCCCGGGGCAGATGGTCATAAGAGTCTTCATGACAAAGCGGGTGTTGAAGTTGATCTTGTTGAGTGCTCCAATGCTGCGCGAGGAGGCATCAGTGAAGAGCTTGCTGTGCAGCAGCATCACACGAGCGATCAGGTAGAGGCGCAGGAACATGGGGATGGACAGGATGATGTCCACATCTGCCTCTGCCCGGGAAGGCGTGTAGGAGAAAGCCAAGCGGGCTGTCCAGAAAAATTTGTACTCCCCGGGGATGGGGTGAATGGCACAAACCAGCATCTCCAGGCTGATGTAGAGGATGCGCTCGTATGTCATCGCTATCCGCCAGTCATCAGCGCCATTGTCGATCACAAAGAGCTGCCAGGATGCAAAACCATACAGTTACCAGTGGTCCTGGTAACCAGTGCCCCACCAGCATCATACCACAGGCAGTGGCGAGGACCAGCAACAGAGCCCTGCAGAGCTGGGGATGTCTTTGGCCAGAAGGGCTGGGGATGGACTGGAAAGGAAAAGGTGGGAATGAGCTTTCACCATCCCCTCCGCTGCTCTCCTGGTGTGTTTAGGAGATGGTCACAGTGCTGGAGACCCCCCGGAGAGCTTTACGGTTCCTGGAGCACACACCTGGCATAGGGACAACTCTCTCCTACACACTCCCATGCAGTGGCTGGCCAGAGCCTTGCCCAGGCACAGAGCTGCGGTGCCACAGAGCCCCAGCATGTCCCAGACCCTTCCCTGCCACCACAACCCGAGTGCCGAGACAGCTCTGGTGGGGGGAAGCGCCACAGCCAGAGCACTCGGCCACTGGCAGCGAAGGGATCCAGTTGTCATAGCAACCACTGGTTCATCCTGGGTACCAGCTCCCATCCCACCACTGGTGGTGGTGATGGAGTCAGGGATTCTTCTGGAGCTTCAGGATGGCAGCTGGAGCTGGTCCCTCTGGTCCCTAGGCAGTCACCCACCCCACCGGTGGGTCCCTCCCAAGGCTACCGTCAGCTCGTGCCGGGTGCAGTGGGGACACTGGTGTCACTCACAGCCCTGGGGACACACTCAAGGCCTCTCCGCAAGCAGTGCTTGGCAAAGGCACCCCTGGGAAGGGATCCAAGGGGGATGTGGCAGCTGGTGCTACTGTCACCGCTGTGTCCTCTACCCTGTAAAGCACAGAGCCACACTGGCTCCTCCAGGCCATGGGTGGGAGCCAGAAACAACCCTCCTGCCCCACTGGAAATCCCCCTGCTCCTGCGGCAGGCACCTCACCACACGGCACCGCACGGCACCGCGCAGCACACAGGGCTGTCCCCAAGGGGACTGACTCATGGAGCAGCCGTCCCCAGCCACCTCCCTTTCTGTTGGGAAAGCTCCGCTCCTTTGAGCTGCTTTGTTTGAGAGCTTGTTTATAGAACTGCTCCAAGCTGTCAGGGGAGATCCTCAGGCATTTAGCGAGCTGACAGCCCATTCCTTCCTGGAAAAGGGTGTTAAAAATAAACAAATTAGCGAGAGGAAAAAGGCAGGGAGCCCTTTGGCTGCGATGGAGGGGTGGGGTGGGGTGTGTGTGTGTGCAGTGGGCCAGGTTGGGCAAGGGAAGGAGCAAGGAGGCATTCAGGCAGGTCCCCCTGCACCAGCCCCTCTCAGCCCTGGGCCGACGGCACATCAGCACATCGCTCCGGGTTTCCATGGAAACCCTGGCGCGGTCCAGCAGCACCCAGCGGGGCATCCCCAGCATCCCAACATTTCAGCATCCCCAGCATCCCAGCACTGGAAGAAGCAAGCCTGGGGATCACTATTGCTCTGGTCAAGTGAAACACCAGTGAAGCCTCTGAGAAGCTGCACTGGGGGTACAGACCAGAGCCACCTCCACGGGGCTGAGCCTGGTGACACCCCAGGCTGAGAACCCAGCAGCGCTGGTGGCAGTTCTGCACATGCTCAGCGCAGTGAAGAGCAAGGGACACACAGAGCAGGGAGCAGAGCTGGGAGGATGGGGGGACAGCCCCTGGCTGCTGGGCAATGGACAGGGGGACACACAAGGGACCCACTGCCAGCCTAGCCCATTGATGACAGTGGGCACAGGCAGCTGGGGAGGGGACAGGCAGAACCCAGGGCCCCAGGCACAGTGATACCCCAGCCCTGGAGAGACCAAGAGCAGGGAGAGCTGCAAATATCCCCAAAGACTTGGCAACTAATGCAGTTGATCCCAGAATCCCAGCCTGGTTTGGGTTGAAGGGACCTTAAAGCTCATCCAGTTCCAACCTCTGCCACAGGCAGGGACCCCTTCCACTGGAGCAGCTTGCTTCAAGCCCTTCTGTCCAACCTGGCCTTGAACACTGCCAGGGTTGGGGCAGCCACAGCTTCTCTGGGCACCCTGTGCCAGCGCCTCAGCACCCTCATAGGGAAGAGCTTCTGCCTAAGAGCTCATCTCAATCCCCCCCTCTGGCAGGTTAAAGCCATCCCCCTTGTCCTGTCCCTACAGGCCCTTGTCCAAGGCCCCTCTCCAGGTTTCCTGTAGCCCCTTCAGGCACTGGAGCTGCTCTGGGGGCTCCCCTTCAGGAGCCTTCTCTTCTCCAGGATGAACCAGCCCAGGTCTCTCAATACTAAAGGAAGAGGCTGAAGCTGTTGTTGAGGCCGAGGTGGGGGGGTTAGCAGTGCCACAGCAGGGTGAGCGCAGCCCCCTCTTAGGCCAGAGGGATGAGAAGCTGAGGATTTACAGCTCTCTTAGCCCTGCTTCCATCCCCACCCGATTACCAGCAATCCCTTTAGAAGCACCTAAGAGATAATAGGGCGATCAGCAGCCAGCATGGCTTTGCCTGGAGCAAATCAAGTCAAACCGATCTCATTCCCTTCCCTCCCAGGGTCAGCAGCCGCCGGGACCGCGTGCGCTCTGGAGCAGGGATGTTGGCTCCGGACACGGGCAGAGCAGGGGGGAAGCCCCGCGGGGCGGCCGCGGTGTTTGCTCAACCAGCCCTCTCCCAAGAACAACAAGCAGAGGAAGGCGGCAGCGCCGAGGCACGGCCCCCCCGGCTGCCCCCAGCAGCCACCCCGGGGTAAACATTACCCAGCTCAGACCGGAGCACTCAAATATTTGCTTTGAGGCTCCAGCCCCGGTCCCGAGCAGGACGAGAACCAAAGCACCAGCTCATGGGGCTGGGGGCTGCAGTGCCCCTTCCCGGGATGCTCCTTCTCCCGCACGCCCGTTTGTTTCTCCCATCCCATCGAGCTGAAGCTGGATCCTGCATGGAAGCGCAGCCTTCCTGAAGCAAACTGGGGGCCCTTTCATTTCCCAGCAAAGGGAGGAAGAGAGTGGGCAGCCCTGATTAGGAAAGATTTCATAGCTTTCCTTGGCACCTCAGCAGGTCCGAGCCCTTCCTGCTGCAGCCTCCCACAGTCACCGACAGCTCTGCCCAGGCAGACCCCTCAGTGCTCCTGAGACCCTCTCCTGCCGCCGAGGCCCCGGCAAGGACAGAGGAGGATCCACGCAGGCTGTGGCACAGGTCCCGCATCCCACCGGAGCCCTGGCACCATGGGGACCTACCTGCACCTCCCGCGTGTGGTAGGCGATGATGAGGCCCAGCAGGATGATGGTGGAGAGGCTGATAAGACATTTTAGGGCCAGGGAGAACATGGAGTCCTGCAAGGCAAGAGCAGGGCAGGCATTAGGGGGGATACCCCATGACACCGGGCTCCGCACCCCCAGGGAGATGCTTCCCCTCCACCAGCATTTCAGGAGCCCCAGCTCCCACCCAGAGCAGCTTGGCATGGCAGCCAGGGCACCACCGGCACCACCAGCACCATGGGCAAGAGTGGCTTTTTCTCCAAAATGGGATTTGAATCCAATCCTGGCAAATGTAATGACCGTCCTCCCCTTGCTGCCACATGGACACCAGCACCCCAGCTGCATCTGGCATGACCACAATATTATGGCACCATAATGGATGATCTAATTAGAAAGTCCTGATAATTAGCTCGATGTAAATGAAATCAGCCCCTGATTCACTGGTGGCCAAAGCGGACCCAATCGGGAAGAGCAGGATTCACCGTCCTCTCCTATGGGCTCGCCTCTGGATCCCATTCAGTCACCAGCAAGCTCATGCTGCCATGATCCCGACCACCGGTGCAGGGGCACCCACTGAGCACTGGCAGCCCCTCACCAAGGTGTTATCTCCAAACCAGCACCCATCTGCACCTCCACCCCGCACGCTGAGAGCCAGCACGCTCATGGCACGTTGCACCTATCCTTTGCTCCCCAGTGCACCCAGCTGCCTTCAGCCTCGCTTCTCTCCCCGGTGTTCCCCAGCCCCGCGGGGTATTTAACCACGAAGAAGGGACTATTTGCCGCGGAGGCGGTGGCGCATTGTTAACGACTTGGCTCCGACCGTGCAATTGTGTGGATATAATGGCTGGTGCTGAGAGAAGTGCCGGGGACCAAGCAACGGCTATTAATAGGCAAACTCTGGGGCAGGGCTCGTGCTAAGGCTGCTCCCGCCAGACCCTTCCCTGCTCTGCCTCCCCAGAGGACGGGGACCACCGGCCCTCCTGGCAAGTGTTATTGGCAAGGGCTTTCCCAACGCCTCCTTCCAGCACCGGGTCCAGAGGGACCCGGCAGGAAGAGCCGCTGCTGGAGCCCATGCTGGTGGCAAACAACGGCAAGGAATGGAGGGACTCGGCTGGGATGGGAGGATGCTTCCCCCCGGCGGTGCCGCGCCGGAGGAGGGAGAGGCCCCATCCTGCCCACACCCGAGGGACCGGCAGAGAGCGCCGGCAAACCCCGGCCACCGCTTCCCGGCTCGGCCCCGCCGGCAGCGGAGCTGGAGCGGGGCCAGGGTCGGCAGCACCGACAGCTGCCCGGGCACAGCCGCGGCCCCGCTCGGGTTTCCCACCGGCGGCTGCCGAGGGGCGTTTACGAACAATCGCCCATTGCCGACCCCTGCGGGGCTCGGCCCCGGCAGCGCGGCAGGCGCCGGGGTCGCGGCGGCCGCGGGCGGCAGCGCTGACTCACAGGGTCTTCCCCGGCTGCGTGCGGGGCTGGCACATGCGTGCGCGGCGTCTCTGGCACCCCGCGCCCGGCACGCGGGCCCGGTGCGGGCAGCCGCGGCTCAACAGGTAGCGGGCGAGGGTGGCGGCGGCGTTTGGCCTTGGTGCCGCCGACAGGGAACCGCTGGGGAGGATGTGGCGGTGAAGAGAGGCGAAGCATCCTCGTTCCCCAGCGGGGGAGCCAGGGATGTGCGCTCGGCACGGAACAATCCCTCTGCCTCCGCCAGAGCGCAGGGAGCCGCTGCTGCCGGCTCCTGTGCTCCCACCGCCGCCGACAGCCGGGAGCCCCCCGCTTCCAGACGGGCACCTCCGTGGGGTCCCCCCACACCCACAGGACCCCCGGCCGCGTCCCTCGCTCCCTCCTTCCCTCCCTCCTTCCACCTGCTCCAGCTCTGTCGCTGCCTCTGCCCGCGCCACCCTCCCCACCGCCCGCGCTGGATAATAGCAGGAAGCAGCGAGCGGCCCCTTCCCACCGGCTCCTGCCCCCAGCCCCCTCAGCAGCGTCCCGCTGACGCCCATGGGTGCCACACACGCCCTTTGCCGGCGCGGGTGCTGATGCCTTCCCCTCTCTGGATAGGTATAAATAACATGACAGATGTCTATACAAAGAGTTATTCATATCGCTGCCAACCAGCGCAGCCCGGGAGCAGGAGCTGGAAGGGGCGTGGGGGGGGAGAATTATAAATAAAAGACACCGTCCTGCAAAAAAGAAAAAAAGGAAAAAAAATGGAAGAAAAGGGTGTGGAGGAGGCGGAGGAGGAGGGAGATGGGGCTCTGAGTACCGCCGAGGGCACAGCGCCTCGAGGGGCACCCAGCCAGGCCGCCCATGGGCACCGCAGACCCTGGTGGGTCTGTCCTCGGTACTGCTGGCACGTGAGGCAGCGCCTGCCCAGGCACCTGGCACACACTGGCTGCCACGCGGCCCCGGTGGCCACAGCCCCGTCCGGCACCTGCGGCTGCAGCGTCCCCATCGGTCCCCATCCAGCTGCGTCCCATGGCTCACAGAGCCAACGGCTCCATGTGTATCCCACGGGACACCATATGGGGCACACAGTGCTGCGCTCACCCCGCTGGCCACCGAATAGCACCGACAGCCCCGCGCCCAAGGTCTGGCCCCTTCTGTACCTTGGAGTAGAGCCCCCAGGAGAGCTCGGTCTCGATGACCATGACGACGATGCCGAACATGCCGAAGATGAGCGCGTAGTCGCTGAGGCGCTTCCTTTTCTCAAAGAGCGCCCGGCGGTGCCCCAGCCGGTAGCCGATGTTCTGCGCCTTGCGCTTGGGCCCCTTGGCAAAGGTGGCGGGGGCCGGGTGAGCCGGCGGGCGGCTGGGGCAGCGGGCAGCGGGCGCGTGGTTGTCCTCACGTGAGACGACGATCTCGGGGGGTCCCCCGGTACCGAAGAGCTGCAGGGGCTGCGCCTCTGGCTCGGCCTCGATGAGGTTCCGCCGGGATGCGCTGAGCCGGCTGAGGGGCTTCATCACGCCGCCGCTGTACTTGCAGGAGCTCATGGCGATCTCGGTGAAGGGGTTGCTGTCCCGCCGGTGCACCAGCGGGCTGGGCTGCCGGTGTTTGCCGCTCGCCACCCCGGAGCCCGCCGGGTGGTCGCCGAGGTTGAGCTGGCTGCCGTGGCGGGAGGAAGGGTGGAGGGCGGCGGGGGCGGCGGGAGGAGGAGGAGGGGCCCGCAGCGACCCGGGCGAGGAGTGCAACAGGCTGTGCTGGAGCGGCGGCAGCGCGGCGGGAGGCGGCGGCCGCTCATCCCCCGGTAAGGGGCAGGGACAGCGGCCGTCCTCCTCCAGGTCCCCCACGCCCGAGTCGTGCAGATGCCCCGATGTCTCCATGACGGCGGCGGCGGCGGCACCGGCGCCGCTTCACCGGGCACCGGCTCCGTTTTACCGGGCACCGGCCCCGCGCGCTGGATCATGAATGGGCGCCGCGCGCTCGCCGCTGCCGCGCGCTCGCCGCCGCCGCCCCCGTCGCCGCCGCCGCTGGCCCGGCCCCGCCGCGCCATTGGCCGCGCCGGGGCTCCCCGCAGGCTGACATCATCACCGCCCGCTCCCCGCTTCGTGCCCCCCCCCCCGCACCCCGCGCCCCCGGTCCCTGCGTCTCTTGCGGGGTCGTTCGGGACTTGTAGTCCGCCGGCACCGGCGCCGGTTCCGCCCATCCTCCCTCCCCGGGGGATGCCCCGCGCGCACCGGGCTCCCCTCGAAGGCACCGGGAGGGGGCTGCAGGTCCCCGGAGGGCACCACCGCCCCTCCCTCCATGATCTCCAACCAGGTCACCCCGTGTGTCCCCCAGGATGTCCCCGAGGGGAATCGGGGGCGATGCCAGACCCAGGGCTCACACCAAAGCGATGGCTTTAGGGGTGACAGGACCCAAATCCCTCCCACCCTGCAACCCCTCAGGACCCCCCCAGCAGTGCCCAGCTGCTGCAAGAGAGGAGCAGGTATTAGGGCGGGAGCCGTCTGCTTGGGAAGCGGATAATCCGCAGGGAATTGGCTGCTGGAAGCCTATTAAAATACACCACAAAGCACCCAGCTAGTGACCCCCCATTAATTAAACTGTACATTTGCCTCTACCCCCACAAAGCTGGGGGGGGCACCCCGAGGGGCATCACCCGTGTCTCCAGCCCCATGTGAACACCCTTCCCAAGGGAAGCGAGACGGAGCCGGGTGGCATCGGCTCTCGGTGTCAGAGCTTTACTTCCAGCACAGGCACAAGGGGGGATCTGGGGCACCCCCCAGCACTGGGAGAGAGGCCACAGCTACAGGCGGCTGCAGACCGCCTGCAGGAGCATCTCCAGCTGCTGGTCCAGGGACAGCTCATCCCCATCATTGGTGATCACCCAGTCGAAGCTCACTCCCTGGTCCAGGCCACACTCTGACTCGGCGTCATCCACCCCTGGGGAAGAGCGGAGCCCAGGTGAGGCCCCAGCCCGGGCCAGGTTCTGTCCATCCCCTGCCGCAGCCTCAGCCCATGGAGCTGGGGGGCTTCACCTGAACCCTCCAGCTCCCACAGCCAGAGGCCAGGGGCGGATCCATCTACAGGGCAGTCATGCTGTCAGCGCAGCCCCGGGTTCATCACTGCACTCAGTGCGGCGGTCGCTCACCAGCAACGAAGACCCAGTTCCTCCTCTTCCTCGTCTCCTCAGTGGCCACGACCCGCACAGTCTGCACCACATCACCGTAGACATCCCGGAACCACTCCACGTCCGAGAGGCGCCGCGTGTCGCTCACCACCTTTGAGGGGCTCTGTCAGCACCCGTCCCGGAGCCTCCACATCCCGCGTGTCCCTGTGTCCCTCCCGGCTCACCCACACCGGCTGCGCCGCTCCCTCCACCGCTGCCCTGCAGAAGAAGCCGGGGTCGGCGTGGCGCTTCTCCTCGCCCCAGTGAATCATGTCCTGCCGGAACATCTCCTTGTAGGCACTGGCGTCCAGAAGCCGCTGGAAGTCCAGGCCATGCTCCTGCGGGGATACGGGGTCAGGGGGGCACAGCCCATGCCACAGGGCTTGGTGTGGCACGGCATGGTCTGGCTCAGCACAGCACGGTGAGGCTCAGAGCAGGACGGCACAGCTCGGTACAGCTCGGCATGGCACAGCGTGTCCTGGCACCGTACCTTGGCATACTGCTCCTTGAGGGGTCCGGAGAGGCGCAGCACGGTGCAGACATCGGGGCCCAGCCTGTGGGAGAGGAGTCAGAGGCACCGGCACTGGGCACGGTACCTGCCCCGATCCACCAGTACCAGCCCCAGCTCCCGGTACCGCCCCCGCCCGCGGGTACCTGGCCCGACCCCCCGGTACCGACCCCCCGGGTACCAGCCCCATCTCCCGGTACCGGCCCCGCCCCCAGGTACCTGGCCCGACCCACCGGTACCGCCCCCCCCCCCCCGGGCACCGCCCCCCCCCCGGTACCGGCCCCATCTCCCGGTACCGGCCCCGCAGCTCCTCGGCCACAAAATCCTTCCCCGATTTCCTCTTCCCGCTCAGCAGCAGCACCGCGCGCGGCGCCGCCATCCGCGCCCCGGCCACGCCCCCCCCCCCCCGCGGGAGAGCCCGATGGTACTGCCCGAGGAGGGCGGGGCTGGGCGAGGCGCCGCTGACTCCGCCCCTCCGGCGGCGCTCCCGTATCACGGCGCCCCCTGCAGGGCGGGCGGGCAGAGGAAGTCCCCCAAAACCTGCCCTGGCCCCCGCGCCCCGCCGCCCCTTTCCCCAGCGCCCCCTTCCCTCCCCGCTCCCCATTTCCCCCCTCACGCCGCTCCCCCGCAGCAGGCACAGCTCTGCCCAGCGGTGACTTTATTGCATGGCAGCAGCACAATCAACACTGTCTTACTGGGGACCCGGCCCCCGTGGGCGCAATGGCAGCCCCCCAAAGCCAGCCCGTGGGGACCCCTTCACGGGTCTGCTGGGTCAAGGCTGTGATGGGGCGGCCACCCTGGCTCTACCCTGCGGTGCTGGGGGGGGTCTCCACCCTCGCTCCTTCCCACCGGTGCTGCAAGAGAAAGGGGGGCTGTGATGGGGAGCAAGGGCTGGGCCCCGCAACCCCCCGGCCCCGCTGCCCCTCACCCGCGGTAGTGGCTCAGCACAAACTCCTCGAAGCCATCGGCCGCGTCCTTGCCGCCCCGCTCGCGCCGCGCCAATGCCTCCAGCATCTCCTCCACCTCCTCCACGAAGTCGGTGAAGCGCAGGCGGTCGTGGGCAAAGGCCCCATCAGGTCCGAAGGCCCCGTCCAGCTGCGCCGCCACTCCCTCAAAGTGCTGCCCCCAGCCCAGCCGCCCCATGAACCCCTCCAGGAGCTGCAGGAACTGGCTCTTCTGCACCGGATCCAGCGCGGCCCCCAGCACCTCCCGGCCCTCCTTGCGGGCGCATTCGGCCACCCCAACGCAGCCCTGGGGTGCCCGGTACTGGCTGAAGGGGGGGACCTGAGACGGCTTCCCCCAGGCTTTGCCCTGCTTGTACTCCCGGGGGAACCGGGTGTCCTTGCTGCGCCCATAGGGTTTGCCGTGCCCCCTCCTCTTGTGCTCGTCGGCACCGGGCCGCTTGCTCTCCTTCTCTGCCTTGAACCGCTTCTTCCAGGCCCCCCCTGACTCCAGCTCCCGGCTCAGGCGCTGCTCCAGGGCGCTCAGCTCCGCCACCAGCGCCTCGAGCCCCCCAGTGCCTCGTGCCCGCTCCAGGGCCCCTGCAAGCTCCCGCCGCACCGACGCCAACCGCGGGCCCTCACGCCACGCCGCGTCCCCACTGGGGCCGGGGGGCTGCTCCGGTGTTGCAGCCTCCCGCAGGCGCTGCAGCTCAGCCCGGGCCTCCCGCAGCATGGCTGCTTCCCGCTCCAGCGCCGCCCGGAGCTGCGCATTCTCTGCCTCCAGGCTCTGCTGCTGTGCCCCGGCCACCGCCACTTTGCCCTCACTCTTGTGCAGCAGCACCTGCAGCTCTTCCTTGTGGGCCTGGGGGGCAGCGGGGCCGTGAGCGAGGTGGGATGGGGGCAGCACCACCGGGACGTGGCACTTGCTCCCCAAGCCCCACCTGCAGCTCTGCCTGCATGAGCCGGATCTCCTGGTTCTCCTTCGCCAGCTTGTCCAGAAGCAGGCTCAGGGACTGCGGGCTCTGCAGGTCCCCAGCACCCGATGGTGGCAGCTTCTTCTGTGAGGCCTGGGGGAGAGGAAAGATGGAGCCGGGGGTGCCACATGCCCCTGGTCAGTGTGGAGGGGCTCAGCTCCACTGCAGACCCCTCCTTACATTGCTGTCAATGGGCAGCAGCGGTTCCTGCTCCCCGGCCGCCACATCCCGATTCACCATGTGCTCTGTGGGGTCTGGGGAGTGGAACCAGACAGGAGGGAGGCATCGAACCACAGCCACATGCATGCTGCCGTGGCCCGCATCCTGCCCAGCACTCACCATCTGCTGGGTCATAGATGCCACCTGCGGACAAGAAGGGATGAAGGGGAGGCAGGGCCCCAACCGTGCCCCTGGACCCCCATCCTGCCCCAGGACCCCACTCACCAGACACAATCAGCAGCCCCACGGCCACCAGCGCCACAGCCCCCAGCAGGTACTTGCTCATGCTGAGCCCGTCCTCGTCCCTGGTGCCCGGAGTCCCCCGGTGCAAGGCTGGCACGGGAGGGGGTGCCCCAGGACAGGGCTCGTGGCCCCACCGTCGCCGCAGCCCCTCCACATCATCATCGCTGCTGGTGCAGGTCCCTTCCTCCGCTGGTGGCTCTGGGGAGGGACGGGCACCTCCAGGGAGGGGCTGCCCCTCAGCACGGCCCCCCCTGCCCGGCCCCCGCAGGGCCTGACCTGCAGCGGGGGGGTCAGCCCCGGCATCGGGCTCTTTCTGCTCGTCACCACCGGGCTCTGCGGAGCCGTCCAGAGGGGGTTCGGTCCCGGGCTCCTGGTGCCCTTCCGGGTGCTGCGGGGTCTCGCGTTCCCCTGGCAGGAGCCCGGGCCCCGGGTCCCCTCTCGGTCCAAGCCCCGCAGGGATGAGGGAAACGGCTGCGGCCTCGACGGCCACTGCTGGGGATTGAGAGAGCAGCGGTGAGCGGCGGCCCCGCGGCTCCCGACCTGCCCGGCCCCGCACTGCCTCCTGCCTGCGACGGGGTCCCTGCTGCCTTCATCTTCATCCTCCTCCTCCGGCTCCAGCTCCGGACCCAGCGTCTCCACGGGCAGCCCCTGCGAGAAACGGGGTGGCGGCACCTTCGGTCCCGGCCCCTCGCCCCCCGTGCCCTCGGCCCGTGCCCACACCCCGGCCCTCACCTCGCTGCCCGCCGGCTCCCGGCTGCTGCTCTCCGAGTCCCGGGGCTCCAGTTTCTCCGCCATGGGCACGGCCCGGAGCCACCTGCAGAAAAGACAGGCGGAGGGACGCGACCCGGACCGGACCGGGGAGCGCCGGTGCTCGCAAGCAGCAGCACCCCCTCCCCCGCCCCCGGGCCCGGGCCCCCTCCACCGGCAGCAGCTGCTCCGTTTATACCCGGGGTTTCTATCACACGGGTATTTATAGCCTCGTGATGCCGCCGGGCAGGTGGACAGGGGACACCGGACCCAGCCTGGGGAGCACACAGCGCTCGGCCAGGGGGCACCTTGCCCCGCGGGGAGGCGGCGGTACCGGGTGGGAAGGGGGGTACCGGGGACACGGGCAGCCCCCGACGCCACTCAGGGACCTGGAACCGGCCCGTGGGGCTCCTACCACCCCCCCCGAGGACACCACCCCCCCCGGCCCCCGGCGGTTCCCGTTGGAGCCGCGGCCGCTACCCCGCTCCCTGCTCCATGCCCGGGGTGATGCTGACGAAGGTGGGGGGGGGCGGTACCTGGTGCCGCGGTCCCGCCGGTAACTTTCTCCGGTGCCGGTCACCGCCCTCGGGAAGGGGCTTGCACGTGACGCCAGCGGCCAATGGGATGGCGGCGGGGCGGGGCGCGTGCGGCTCCCCCGCCGGTACCGGACACCGCCCCCATTTCCCGCCCCCCCCGCGGCGGGCACGAAGCGAGACACAGACACGCGCGATTGAGAGGTTTATGGCGACGGTACAAAAGTTTCAATTAAACGGGATAACCGGGGAGGGGGGGCACCGGGGCCATCCCAAGCACCGGGGAGAGGAAGAGAGCACTGGGACTGCCCCGAGTACATCATGGGGCCACCGCAGGCACCCCCCCTTCCCCAGTAAAGGGCTGGTGATGGCACAGCTGGATGATGGTGCCAGAACCGGGGGGTCAGTCCGTGGCCGGTGGCAGGGAGGGTCGGGGGGGGGCGGGCGGCTCAGCCGTCGTTGGCAGCCACCAGCTGTCCCAGGCCCTCCCGCACATACACGGACTGGATCTCCTTGGTCTTGAGGCAGAAGTCGCAGGCCCAGACGGCCGAGGCCTCGGTGGTGAGCAGCCCGTAGGCGTTCTCCGTCATCCCAGTGCACTCCCGGTGGAACCACTTCTGGCACGAGGCCTCGCACAGGATGGCATCTTGGTCGTCGTTCACCTCGTTGCGGCAGGCTCCGCACGGGTACACCAGCCCCGGCGGCGGCTGATGGCCCGAGCCCCCCACTGCCTTCCCCGGGGCGGGCGGAGGGAGGCTGTTGGTCTCGGGGGTGCCGGCACCGCGCCCAGCACTGCCGGGGGTGAAGCCGGGCTGGGCTCCGTTGACGGCGGCGGGAGAGCCCGAGTGCTGCTCCGGGGCGAAGGCACCGGGCGGGGCGTTCAGGCTCTTGCCCCCTTCCTCGCCGCTGGGCGGGAAGCCGGGGTCAGCCCCGGGGAAGGGGCTGGCGGTGGGGGGCAGCGGGGGCCCGCCCTGCCCAGGCCGCTGCAGGGGCGATTGTCCGAAGAGGCCGCCGGGCTGCCCGAAGCGCTGCCCCACGGCCGGGCCCCCGGGGGGCGGGTTCAGCGCCGGGCCGGGGCCCACGTCCCCCCGCGGGGGCTGCCCTAGGGTCGGGGAGATCATGGGCCCGAAGCTGCCGACCGGCCCCTGCAGCAGCGGCGCCCCGGGCGGGCTGAAGCTCGGCCCCAGCGGCTGCCCGAAGGGCTGCCCCGGGAAGCCCACGGCGCCCGGCTGCCCGTAGCCGGGGCCCTGCGGGGCCATGCTGAAGGCCGGGCCCATCTGCCCGGGGGCGAAGGGCGGGGGCTGGCGCCGCAGGGGCTGGGGGCCGCCGCCGTACCCGGGGGGCACCTGCGGGGACATGCCGCCCTGGACGCGGAAGCCCCCGAAGGGGACGGGGCTGCCAAGGAAGGAGGCGGCGGCGGCGGCTGCGGCTGCACCCGCTTTGGGCGCCGCGAAGTCGTCCTCGAAGGGGTTGGAGGCCACCAGGTGGTCAACCATGGGGGTGGGCGGCGGCGCGAACTCCGAGAGGTGCGAATAGGCGGGGCCCTGCAGCGGGAGGCGGCGGCGCTAAGAGCAAGCCCGCTCCCGGCCGCGGCCCCGCTGCCGGGCCGTGCCCTACCTGCGTGTTGGACTTGCGCCGCTTCTTCTCGGGGCTCTTCATCTGCAGCCCTGCGGGGACAAGCGGGGAGCGTCAGCCGGTGCCGGCGCCCCCCCTCACGCCCGGTCCCGGTCCGCCCGCGCTCACCTGCCTTCCCCTGCTTGCGGCCGGGCCCGCCGGCGGCGGCGCTGCCCGCGGGGTGCGGGGGCCCCGGGGGGGGCGGCGGGGCCGGGACGCCTCCCTCCAGCTTCTCCGCGTGCGGGGCCGCCATGGCCCTCACCGCCGCCACCGCGCCATGGCCCCGCCGCCGCCGCCACCCGCAACCGGGACCCGCGCGGAGCCAACCACAGCGCGAGGGGCGGGGCGGAGCGGCCCGACGGAACCAATCACCGCGCAAGAGGGTGGTGCGCAGCCAATCACAAGGCGGCCCAAGCGCAGCGCGACGCTGAGAAGGGGCCCGCAATGGGACGAACCATGTACATAGTCCCGCGGGGGGGGGGGGGGGGGGGAATGCGCCGACTCCAGCGCGCTGGGCGGGGTGGAGCTGAGCCAGACGGACCATGCCAGCGGCCGTGGGGGAGAGCGGAGCGGACCACGGGGAAGGCGCGGGGGGGGAGCGGGCGGAGGGAGCCACGTGCCGGTGGCTGCGCGACACCAGGCACGGCCTAGAGAAATACCAACTTTAATACCGAGCGCCGGTTCCTTTGGTAGAGCAGGGCCCGGGGCAGGGCTGCGCTTTGGCTTGGGGAGGAACACCATGCATGGGGGGGGCCTCCCACCACCCCCCGGCTGCTGGGGCACATCCCGGGAAGGAGCACGGTGGGGTTGGGAGCACAGAGGGGGGGGGGGCTCCATCCCCAGCCCCCCACACATTGCATAAGAGTGTGGGACCTGCGGGTCAAGGCACAGAGTTAACACGTAAAGTGACCGGGTACAGTCAGAATGGGGCTGGGAGGGGGGGGGGCTGTGCCCCCCTCTGCACCCCAGGGGCTCATCTCCACCATTCCCATGCCCACGCCATTGGTTGTGAGCAGCCGTGGCCCAGCAGCTGGGCCAGGCTGTGGCAGGAACTGAGCTGCTGTGTGAAGGCTGGAGCTGGGGGGCACAGCAGGGGCTTTGGCAAGAAGAGACCTCCCCTCGGCCACACTGGCAGCTCACACCACACCAGCAGGGACAGGCGCCGGCCGTGTCCATGCTCAGTCCTGGCAGAGCACCCAGCTCAGAGTCCAAGGGTGCCCTGGGCAGGGCATGGAGCCGGGGGGGGATGCACCCCAGGGCACTCAGAGTCTCCTCTCCACGGGCTGCTGCAGGCACATCTCGCTGCCGGCAGAGATGATGGGCAGGTGATTGTCCATGTGGTAGCTGATGAGGTGGCTGACGCTCTCAAAGCGATGGTCTTTTGTCCGCACCTTGGGGGCCAGGGGAGGGACACTCAGGAGGCTGCTGATGCCAAAAGGAGGCCCAAGGGGTCCCCATGCAGCCCAGGGCCCCCTCCAGCCCCCAAACCAACCCAGAGGCATTTCCCAGGAGCTCTCGAGGCTCTTGAAGGCCCCCAAACTGTGCCAAGCTCCATCCCTGGGGTGTTGTGTGGACTCACCACTCCCTCAGGATCGACAAGCAGCAGATGCTTGGGCTGCCCACCCTGCAGGCCAGTCAGCACGTACTGCCCCGGGGTGGTGGTGCTCTCCCGCACCAGGAAGTCTCCGTTCACTTTCAGCAGCTTCTCAGCCTCCTTGCGATTCATCTTCCCATGGTACCAGGGCTCTCGTCTCAGCTGCTCCTCCATGGAGGCCACCACTTGGGCAGGGGGCAGCCCCAGGGGCACAGACGGGGGCACACGCAGAGCGTCTTCAAAAGGCTCTGCAGGGAGAGAGGAACGGGGGTGGGACTGCGGCCAAGCCCACTGCCCCCCCCCCCCCCAGCCCCCCACACCACTCACTCATGTCAAAGAGGTCTCTCTGGGTGCTACCATTGGCCGTCGTGGGGGTGCTGGCAGCTGATGCTTGCCGGGTCTTGTCCATGTTCTGCACGTTGACATAAGATGGGTCATCAAACAGGTCCGTGCGGCCGGATGCACCCACCGGAGCCAGGTATTTCTCTCTCCCTCCTGCCAAGAACACTGGGTGAGCAGGGCTCCAGCCCCAAACCCAGCACCCACTGTGTCCAGGAAGGAAGATGGGGACCAGCCACGGCCATCCCGTTACCTTGGGCAGGAGTGTGCTGCTTCTGGGGGTCGTACTCCCCGCTGGACTGGCCGACAGGCTGCAATGAAAGGTGGAGGTGAGTCCCCCTGCACTGCCCATCACTTCCAGGCACACCCAGGGATAGAGGTGCTGGGGAGACACACACCACGGGGTCCCTGCATCACCCTTGGACCATGGAACTCCCCACAGGGCTGTGCCCGGAGCCTTACCAGTGTGGCCCCCAAGTGACTGGGGGTCTGAGCAGCCCCGTCTCGCAGCCGCATGTCCACAACCCCCCCAATGGGAGGCTCCTTGCCAGGGAAGTCGTTGTAGTACTGGTGATCGGGAGCTGGTTCCTCCTCTTCCTCATCCCAGGCAGATCCATCAAACCCAGCCATCCTGGGGGGGGGCATGGCCCAGGTGAGCAGCTGACACCCCCTCCAAACCCAGGCACCTTCCCGCCTCCTCCTCCACTGCCCTTACCTGTCGTGGGGCGTCACCAGCTTCGGGGGATTCTTCAGGTACTGCTTGAAGCGCAGCTCAAAGGCCTGCCCAATGGTGCTGATCACGTCCTGCGCCAAGCCCTCGGGGCACTCCAGGATATGGCAGGCTGCAAGAGACATGACAAATGAGATCTGACTCCCCAGGCTTGCTTCTTAGAGCAGCTCCAGTGCCTGAAGGGCCTATAGGAAACCTGGAGAGGGGCTTTGGACAAAGGATGCAGGGACAGGACAAGGGGAATGGCTTTAACCTGCCAGAGAGCAGACTGAGATGAGCTCTTAGGCAGAAGCTCTTCCCTGTGAGGGTGGTGGGGAACTGGAGTGGGTTGAATGGAGAAGCCGTGGCTGCCCCCTCCCTGGCCGTGTTCAAGGCCAGGCCGGAGCACCCTGCTCTAGTGGAAGGTGTCCCTGCCCATGGCAGGGGATGGAGCTGGTTCAGCTTTAAGGTCCTTCCAACCCAACCTATTCCATGATTCCAAGTCCTCCGTCCCTTGAGCCTTCCCTATGCACCCCAGAGCTTCCTCACAGGGGCCCGGTGCCTCACTGAGCTGAGCCTCAACACCCCCAGAGCAGCCTCACCTCTCTGATTGACGGGGTCTTTGGCAACGTAGGCGACGTACTCGGCTGTGTCCTGTGGGCGAGACACCAGCGGTAAGATGGGTGCAGGGAGGCACTGAGCGCCAGCCCAGGGCAGGGCACACGCAATGGGGAACCCCTGTACTCACCGGGTCTCCCCCAGAAGCAAAGGAGATGGACTGCATGTGGTGGTTGGCAATGATCTGCAAGGCAGAGAGTTTGTTGGATGCAGCCAGGAACTCCTCTGTGGCACCTCCTGCTCCTCCCAATACACACTCCTCCACGCTGTGGTGTTATGAGCCACAGGCCACCAGGACAAGGTCAGGGGCACCCACATCCCACAGGGAGTGGGATCAAAACCCACTGGCCCCAGGCCAGGGGACTTGGGTCTCTCAGTCTCTGGGGCATTGCCCCAAACTCTTTGCCCCCAGGGACTGGGGGGAGATGGGCACCCAGCAGGTGACAGCCCACCGAGACATCTCCTAAGAGGCTGGGGACATCCCCTGTCCCTGAGCAGGATTCTTGCTCACCTGAAGACCCTGGCACGGTTCCCCCCTGCTCTCACCTGCTTGCAGTCAGATGCCATGAGGTTGAGGCTGCTGGTGGAAATGGTCAGGGTGATGGGCATGCCAGCAAACTTCAGGTTGCTCTTGCCCAGGATGGAGTTGAGGGAGCGGCCGCAGGGCTGGGGACAAAGAGCAGTGTGAGGAGGGGGTACCCAGGCCACATCCTGCAGCCCCCCCCCCCCCCACGGGAGAGATGGGCACCTTGTCCTCAGCACTGATGCTGCTGAGGCCCCCCAGCCCGGCCTCACCTTCCTTCTCCTCACAGCTCCCTTGGCACCGGGCACGGCCTCGCACACCAGCCCAATGGCCTCCCTGCAGGGAGCAAGCAGGATGTCAGCACCCCCCCAGCAGTGACCCCCCCCCAACCACGGGACCAGCACACAAGGGGCAGGGTGACAAATAGGGCTCTCTGAGCCGGGGAAGCACATTGGTGTGAATCTGATGTGGCTGTTGCAGGCAGCCCAGCCCCCCAAAAAAGCCCCACACATCCCAAGAGGTTTGCGTGGGGCTCAGACTCCCCTCAAAGAGGCAGAGCTCACCTGGTGACCTGTGTCCTGGTGTTGAAATCCAAAGCCCTCATGGACTGCAGGACTTCCACGCAGCCCATATACTGGGGGAGAGAGCAGGGTCAGCCTGACCACCCCAGGAACCCCACTGCCCACCTACCACCCCCCAAGGAACATGCCAGGAGGTCCCCAAATCCCCAAATCACCCTTCCCACACCACCCCCCCGAGTCCCCAGCACTCACACGGACGTGGTAGGAGACCCCGGGGCCCATGACTTTGTCATCAGGGTGCAGCCAGCCACGGGTGGGCTTATTGACGAAGCTTCCGTGCCGGGTCCATTCGTCCCCCCCGAGCTGGCCGCCTTCCACCCGCGTCTTCTTCCCGCAGCTCAACTTGTTCATATCCTGGGAACAGACAGCAACAGGTCCCGCTGAGCCGGGGCTGGCGTTTCCCCCCGGTGCCGGGGGCTCCCCGGGGCTGCCGCTGCCAGAGGAGCCGCGCAGGCTGAGCAGGTTGGCGGGGTTAGAGAGCTTCAGGTTGGCCATTTTGGGGAAGAAGGAGCAGAGCGTGGTGGGACTGTCCTCAGACTCGGGCGAGAGCTCCCCGAGAGGCGCCACGGGGCCGAGGGAGGATGAGGACAAGGAGCCAGACAGCGATCGCGTGCCCGGGAAGGGCTCCACCGGGGAGCCCGGGACCCCCACGGCCTCCTCCAGGGAGGAGATGGACTCGTTCCGCAGGTGGCTGTATTTGCTCTTCTGCAGGAGATCCATGCCGAGAGCGGGGCGCCGGCCCGGCCCGCCTGGAGCAGCCGCACAGGGCTCACGGGGGCCCCATGGAGGGTCCCAACCCAGAAGCTGCCCCCAGGCACAAGCCTCGGCCAAGCTCCGTGCCGGGGCTGCGCCAGCCCTGCATGGCCGGCAGCGAGAGCAGGCCCCGGGGCGCCAGGCAGCGGGGCCGGGGGCTGCTCGGCTCCGTGCCGGCGCAGCCGATCAATCCCGAGCGGCGTCAGCAAAGGATGTGCGGATCCG